CCCCAAAACCCCAAAACCCCAAAACCCCAAAACCCCGAGCTACGACACCTCAAATGAGACGAAAAATATTATAAAATAAAATCTAAATATGAATTCCCTGAAAAAGAGTTATTCAGTTAATCCAGGTTTGATTGGAATGGGGGCAAAATCCAAAAGTGAGGCATTACTCCTGAAGAAGCGTAGTGTGATGAATTCTGACAGAGACCCTCCCTCTCAAATGTCTCAGTACAAATCTAATTTTCAACCGAAGAAGAAGTATTCTAAGGCTGCTCTTAAGAAAATGAAGATTCAGCAGCTGAAGGCTAAATTCGAGAAAAACTGCATGGACAAACGATATTATTTCCCTAATATAAATATCGAGGGCAAGGAGCAACATCTGAAATCATTGGATGAAATAACTGAGAGAACGGCGAGTGCTACAAGTAGTCAGAGACAACAAAGCATCACTTCGAAACCAGTTTTGAAGTTTCAGACTATTAAGACAAGGAATTTAGGAGTTAAGCATTTTCAAAAATTTAAAACCACTCGTGGCGCACTCTCTCCAATGCCAGTCATTCCGGAATTTAAGTTTCCAAGGATTACTCAATGCTCTGAAGAGAAATCAGATGATGAAAAAGAAGTTCAGATGGAAGAAGTGGACATCAGTGCAATTGGGCTTGACAATAAACTTGATGAGACACAATCGCCAATGTTTCAACCCAATAACCCTCCTTCATTTGATCTGTTTCAGAAGAGCATGGATAATCTGTCCATTCCAAAGACCATGAGAAATGCTACAAAGAGACAGAGTATCATAGGTAGTGTCAAGGATTTTCTACATAATTTAGCCTTGCTTTCGGTATTTCTTTGTAGAAAGCTCTCCTCAGAATGCTCATTTGTGTAAATAAGGATATAGTGACTATATATCTTGCTAGTCTTAATATACCTTTAGAATAGTACCTAAAATTACTCTATCATGCTGATTTTATAAGAGTGAGATTCTAGCTTAGCAAATAGCTATGTTTCAAAGAACTTTCTGCCTAGTAATCAAAAAGAGAGCATCTCTTGGACGAAATAGTCCTAAATTTCAATTTTCCTTCCTATTTTGAGTCTTATTTTCTAGATTTACACATCAATGATCCTAAAAGGTACAGAAAAGTTGAGTCGAAGGAGCTAAAGAGTAATGCCTACGAGAGATATCGCCGCAAATGTGAACAGCTCATGATAGTCCCAGTTAGATTTGGCATCAAATACAAGGGCGAGCAAAACCAAAAGATTGAAGCTCAGGACTACTTGATGGGGGAAGATCATTTGAAAGCATTCAATTATGCTCTAGCTAATTTTAAGAAGATCTCTTCACTAAATTTGGAAAACAACCGGCTTGGAGGAGATGCCGCCAAGGAGCTATTGCTCAAGCCTGAAGAGGATGAGCACAATGATAGGTCCAATTCTGTCTACAACCGGCTACTATGAGATGATATTTCCAATTTGAATCTCTCTAAAAACCCAAATCTCCCCTTTGAGACTTACCAGACAATCTCTCTGATGGTGGAGGATGGCTATAACATCTTACAAATTTTGAACCTTGAAGGTAACAAGATGGGAGATAAAGCTCTTATAACTATTTGAGATAGGAGTCATTACAATAATTACTTAAAAGTGCTCAATGTCAGTGACAACAATATTACTTGACGAGCAATGCCGTCTGTAGCTGAAATGCTCAAGTACATCAATATCACTACCATCCTTCTCAGATGGAACAAGATTGAGACAAAAGGACTGGCTAATCTATGAGAAGGGATAGTGAAGACAGACTCTTTAAAAATTCTAGATCTCTCTTTTAACCCTCTAAGCAAGAAGAATGAGGATAGTGATGAGTATCCACAGTGTTTGTCAGATATGTTCCGGGAGAACTCCTCTCTAATGCACATGGATCTCTCCCACACTGGAATCACAGCTGAAGATGGCAAGATTATTGAGAAGGGATTGAACGAAAATCATACTATTTTTGGAATTCACCTCACAGGGAATGAGATAAGACTTACTGCTGAAGGCTTTATTACCAAAGCCAGGGAAAATGATGCTGCTGACAGTCATATTATGGTCAGGGTTTCAGATTCCTTAACAATGGGTGTCCCAGATGTCAAATAAACAAATAGATTACAGAGGAACCACTAATTGTTGGATATGAGAGGGCTGGAGTGAAGTTAAATTTCATTTTGATGTAACCACCTCAAACATACCTCTCACTGAAGAAGATGGCGTATTGAAAGGAGTTAATATCCATCTTGACTTTGACGACTATAGACCAGATGTCATGAAAAGAGCATCTAAAAATCCAAATCTGTTCTATCTTGTCAAGATGGTTCCACCCAAACTCCGGGTAAGATATTACTTCTCGATAGCCCTTGAGAAGACTACAGTTATACCTGCAAAGCCCAAGAAGAAAAAGTCTAAATATGCTAGTAAGTTATCTGCTGATGTGTAGCAAAACCAAAAATTAAGAAAGACTTGTATTTTAAGCAAGCGATCAATGAAAGGGACAGATTTCAGGGAACAAATCTGATCGACTACCAAGGAGTTTTTGTGATCCCAACACTTCACAAGATCTCTGTACCAGAGACAAATGTATTGGAGAATCTTTCGATCAATGATAGGATGATCAACACCACATATCTTGCGGATACAAACTCGGTTCCTCGCCCGAAGAAGATCACACTTGATACCAAGATTCTTAAGAAGGAGTGGAAAAGAGAAAAGTCTATATTTAAGGATTATAAGCTAGAGCATCCTATTGTTACAAAGAAATGCTTTGAAAAGGACTTCAATAGTATCTGTGGAGTTATCAAGGATGAGCTTGATCGGAAGAAGGTCAAAGAGTTCCTCAGTTCAATCTATGCTCCCCTCAAGGAGTGCTATAAGTACTATGCCGGCACAGACTTCACAAATAATGTACCTAGTATTGGGACGAATAGTTTCACGGATTTGCTAACTATTTCTGGGTGTATAGATCATAATTTATTAAAATTATCAGATATCAGTATCGACTTTATTGGTAAGTCTCTCTAAAATTTGAACTTAACTTTCAAAGCTTTCTTGTAGTTTGGGTGTAATTTTATGAAAATCAATGTAAATTGGCTAATTTTAGCAACAAATGTTGGCCAAAGACCAGAAGATCCAAAATTTAAGCACTTAAATCCTGAGCGCTCATTAGTTAGAGAGGAATTCCTACAGATTTTTATCCGGCTGGCCAACAGTAAATATCTCAAAGCCAAAAAGTTGTTAACTTATAATGATGCAATACGGCAGCTATTCAATGATGGTCTTCTTAGCTATATGAGGAATTTTGACAGTAACGATTTCAGGATCAACAAGTTATACAACGAATCCTGAGATATGGTCTTTAAGTATTATATCAAAAGCATGAAGAGGCTGTATTTCACTTACTCAGGAAAGCACACTAAACCGGGTGAAACCCGGTTCATGTGCTATGACGAGTTCATGAAACTATTCTCTGATGCTGGAGTACAATCAGACCTTTTCGGAGCTAAGGAGCTTGGCATAATCTTCAACCTCTCAATGATGACCCAAGTAAATGAGATTACATCTGAAAGACATTACAAGATGTCCTTCGATGAGTTCATTGAAGCCGTTGCCAGAGTTGCAGAAGGCTGCAACCTTCTCCTCGTCAGTAGCTCTTTCTTTGGTGTTGACCTTGAAGAAGAGATCGAGAAACAGAAAAACTCCAAATTTAGAGGAGGTGACAAGGCAGAGGTATTAGATACTAATGGAGGGCAGATATTTTCACCAGAAAATATCTTGAGTTCTCAGAACCAATCAAAGCAAGAAATATTTTCTGAGTACAGCACAGACTCTGAAAACGAGGAGAGCAAAAATCGTAAATTTGGCAATATGATGTATAGTTGATGGCATTGATGCAAGCAGAATCGAAATCTCAGGACAAGAGAAATGTAAGATTTATACCTAATTTTAGTAAATGAGACTGATATCAACAAAAAGAATGTCTCTAGCAGTATCTCTGGAACAGGTAATCCTTCTAGGTTATCTCTCATAGCCATGCAGGACATTGTAAATATCGAAGTGGAGAAAATTACTGAGAAGAAATCAACAATCAGTCGAAAGAACTCTTCATCAAAGCTAGTTCCAGAACTCAAACAGGATGTTGGTATCGCACATGAAATCTATGAACAGATCGACCTCGCTGAGAAGATAGAGTTCCTTATCACTATAATGATGCATAACTGCTTGGATAGTGCATCTGTGGCTGCTTGTGCCAAGAAGAAAAATGGGTGGAAATTATTAATTGAAGACTAAGTTTACCCCTATTCAGTTACAAACTAATATCTCGGGGTTTTGGGGTTTTGGGGTTTTGGGGTTTTGGGGTTTTGGGGTTTTGGGG